GATCTCAGTGCAAATCCCAGAATACACTGAGGCGTCAGTGACGTCTATGCCGCTCTCTCTCAGGTCCTCCTCATAAAACATCACATTGCCCTTCATCAGCTGATTGAAAGCCAGTTCAGAAAGTTTCACAATCACTTCTCTGTTGGAACACAGGGGTTTCTCTGAATCTCTCGCTTCATACTTCTGGTTCCTCATATTTGTTTGAATGAGCAGGAAGTAGATGTACATTTCAGTCAGAGTTTGAGGGATTTCTGCACTGAGATCTTGTTTCAGGATGTTTTGAAGCACAGTGGCTGAGATCCAGCAGAAGACGGGTATGTGGCACATGATGTGGAGGCTTCTTGCTCTTCTGATGTGTGAGATGATTCTGCTGGCTTGATGCTCGTCACTGATTCTCTTCCTGAAATATTCCTCCTTCTGAGGGTCATTGAATCCCTGAATTTCTGTCACACGGTTGATGTAGTTGGAGGGGATCTGATTGGCTGCTGCTGGTCTGGTGGTGATCCAGATGAGAGCAGAGGGAAGCAGATCTCCTTTCATGAGGTTTGACATCAACAGACCCACTGATGAAATCTCAGTCACATCAGAAACTTTCTGACTTTCTGAAAACATCAGTGAAATTCTGCTTTCATCCAGACCATCAAAGATGAACACAACTTTACATTTATCATAAATCTTTGAGTCCAGATCTTGAAGTTCAGGATCAAAGTCAAGCAGAAGTCTGTGAAGACTGTAATGATGATCTTTAATCAAGTTCAGCTCTCGAAATGTAAGCACAAACATGAAATCTACATCCTGATTGGCTTTTCCCTCGGCCCAGTCCAGAATGAACTTCTGCACAGAGACGGTTTTTCCAATTCCAGCGATGCCTTTAGTAAGAACAGTCTTTATTTTGTCTTTCTTTTCTCTTCTCTTCTCCTCATATCCTGGCTCAGATAAAGGATTAAAGATGTCATTGCAGTTGATTGGAGTGTCTTGGAGTGTCCTGTAACTTTTCTCCATCTGTAGCACCTCATGTTCTTCATTCACTCCTTCACTCTCTCCCTCTATGATGTACAGCTGTGTGTAAATCCTGTTCAGGAGGGTTTGATTATCTTGTAGTTTGATTCCCTCAAATAAGCTCTCATACTTGTTCTTCATGCTGGTTTTGTGCTGGTCTTTGACTCTTTGAAGATCATCATGCACTGTTTGGTATGAATCGAGCTGCAGGTATGCTTCTTTGTCATGATGAATGATGTGGTTCTGACAGCAGGAGGATGTGAATGTCTGACAGGACACATATCTGATCTGGTCAGCACTCCAGCCACTGACATCAAAAGACATTAAGATGAACAGAGAGACAAAAACAAACAGAAAAGAGCTTTATCAAAACAGAGAAAATATATGTATATATATATTTATATGTATCTAATATTAAATGATCTTAGACAGATTATTCTTATTACTGTCAATATAAAACTGATACTGAAATCCCACACTGTAAAAAATATCCATAAGTTTGCCAGTAGTGACAAACAGATAGTCTAAAGAACTTTATGGACAAAAAAAAAGTTTCAAACTACAGTACCAGTTAGACAAACACAGACATCAAGACTTAGCATATGAATCTCGACAATGAGAACAATCAACAAAATATTCAGATGAAACTGAACATCATAAAACAAGCTACTAAAAAGTCACAGCAAAAATAGTAAGAATAAAAGAAAATATACTAAGGCAATTCAGCTGCATAATTTATTCATGCTGCAATTAGGGCTGTGCAAAAAATCCAATGCGATTACCATGCGCATCTCATCAGTACGGTGACGCATTGCTGCCACACACATATTATTTTTTCCACTCATTATGTCGTAATAACGAGATGTCTTAATAATTATGTCGTAATAACGAGACATCTTTTCTCGTAATAACGAGATGTTATGACGTAAAAACGATGTTTTCCAGTTATTATAGATATATGGTACATTATGTGAGCGAGCTAAGCGACTGTCCGCGCTGCTGTCGCCACAGTCTGACATAAACGAGGATCTGCACGCTGCTGAAATTATTGAAATACACTGTTTTAAATGTATTTGAATGTAATGGTTTTAATTGTAGTGGCATGTTTATTAGGATTAGTCTCCAATCTGTCTACAACAGTGGTCGCCAACCTGTCGATCGCGATCGACTGGTAGATCTTTATCACTGTCCCAGTAGATCCCGAAAAAAAAAACAGTAAAATATGTACAAAAATGCATTACATTTATGGGGTTATATTAATGTATCACTGAAGGGAACTGTCTTGAGAAAAGTTTCGATGGCAATGGCATTTTCTTCTCCGTATAAAGCGCAGCTCTGCTTTGTTTACAGCGGTAAACAAGGAAACGCTATATTGCGGTCGGTTAATATGCAGTGTTGCCAGATATGCGGTTTTCCCACGGAATTGGGCTACCTTAACACTGTTGCCGCGGGTTGATGTTCATGTCCGCGGGTTGAAGCGACCCCTATAACGTGATATTTAGAATAACGTTTCTTCAAACTGTCTGGCTGTTGTATAGCCTAGGCTATATTTCTTGCAAATATAGGCTACATCTCATATAAAGCACAACACTGCTCTTCTCGGTTCGGCGGCGCCGGCGTGATCCCTTGGGCTACACTGTGATAACAGAGGAAAGGAATGTCTGCTATATTTTCTATACTTCCACAATAACAACAAAACGTTACAAATTGCTTTTGTAAAATAACAGGG